TATAATAATACAAAGTCACTTCTGAATTACATATCTCTATCTAATAAGAAACCTAACCGACGCCGAAATATCTTGAAACGCATACATACCTCTGTTGAATTCGAGTAAGACGAGGGTTTCCAGTCGTGTGTATATATGTGTGAGTGCACTCACTGCTAAATAGCTAAATACCTATATTATAATTTAGTCCTTTGAGGGTAACTTACAACGCGACAGGGTTAGCATATGCACATGCCTCCCGTGCTATATATAACCCTGTATCGTTGCGATATCGTAGAATGCAATTTTTCATTGATCATTGAAGCCAGTTTTTTCTTGATAAAAATTTATAATATCCGATAGAGTGATGTAATTTGGCAAACTAACGCGATTGATCAGAATAGGTATCAATGAAGAAAAAAAATTGCACCCAAAGATGTGCAATAGATAAAATTATTTCATGGTTTTGCCATGCATACCTGTTCCTCGTTCAAATAATTTGGTAAACCACCAATGAAGATCTTGTGCGGCGAATCTAAAATAGAAATATACATACACAATTAAGATAAACATAGATTATGATTAAATGTGGCACAGTCAAAAGTGCATTGTTAAATATAAAGAAATGTATGTTAGAACATACCGGGAACCGTACCTGGCACGTTCATGCTTGGATTATCAGTCATCCCTGGCATTGGTTGGTAATCATGTGGCCTCCTTATTTTCAAACTCTGTCCTTTAAAATTTATACCATCAAACGCCATGGCTTGAGTAGTTTCATCTATTGATCGGAACTGTATTTAAAAAGAGAAAAAGTTAAAAAGAATATCAACAATATATTTAAATTACTGATCAAAACTAATATTATCTATACCATACTTTTAATGATGTGTAAAAAAAATGATATAAAAAAATTGTATCCTGTGTATATGTATGTGCAAGTTAATGTTATACCTCCAAAAATGCGAAATTTTTGTCTAAATTAATTTGACACGCCAATACTGGATTTCCGGCGGCTTGTGCGAGTCCCGACAGATGCATCTGTTGATTGAAGAATTCCATCATTTCTTCCTCAGTGACACCAAATGGAATGTTTCCTACATAAAGCCTTCTCGCTTGACGAGTTATAGTGCTACCAACTACAGGTACAGCTGCCTGTGGTGTGTCTGCTACGATATTTGCAGGAATTTGTCCAGCAGCTTGCATAGCCTTGTACTGTAAAAATAAAAGATATATATGTGTAAATATAATATTTAAAATAACAAATCCCTAAGAGAAAAAAACCCAATAACATAAAAAATAATCTTACCTGCAAAGGAGTAATATGTTCAAAACCAGGTGGTGGCACATCCCAATATAGAGAAGGTTTTCTTCTCCTAGAGCTACGACTTTTCTTGGGTGAGTTACTCCTCTTTCTATCTCTACGATCCTTGGAGCGAGAACGCGATCGCTTTCTACGATCTCTGCTTCGTGATCGATGCCTCCTATCACGATCTCTATCTCGATCTCTATCTTTATCCCGATCCTGTCTGTCACGATCTAAGAATAAAAGCGAATTAGGGCATCATCTAATTATGTAACAGAAAATATATAATTTTATTAAGTTTACTTGTGATTTACTTGTACCTATAGATTATTACACATCTCTTCAAGAAACAATATTTTAATAATATTCAATAAAACTAATAGAAAGACAATATCACCATTGAATAATACTTTTGCGTAATTTTCGATATTTTAAATTATTTTTTATAAAAATATATAATATATTATATAAAAAATACAAAAGTAAAATTTTTAAGTAAATCTTATATTTGAATTTATAAGATAAAAGAGAAAGGCCGTTATCTTGAAACGCTACTCGAAAACAACTCTTCAAATTGTGTTTATTAGCTTGGATATCTGACCATTACATTTGTAAACAGATCGGCTAACCAGCAAATAACGCGGTATTAGCTTGATAATATCTCGATTGCGAAACGCGTGATTTTCCGAATTACTCACCTCCGTTAAAATCCTCGCCCATTCTTTATATGTTACTTCAAAAAAATATACGTATGTTAACTGTTCCTAGCAACCTTCCGAAATGGCGTGATGGCGTACGGCGCGTACAAGTGTATATGACCATGGATGTAAGAAATATCTGGATGGATAGTATTATCGCGGGGTTGAAGACAAAGGAGAAAGAGGATTGAAAGTTCAGGGAGTCGATTATGTGTATTCTAGGGGCCTATTAGTGCCGGTCTACAATAGGTGATTTAAGTTTTAGCTTTAAGAAATTGACCAATCATAGTCAAGTATGAGGAGAATACTCGACTGTGATTAGTCAATTTCTTAAGGCTTAGGGCTTAAATCACCTATTGTAGACCGGCACTAATAGTAGGCGGGTACAGTGTAAAAATTCTTTTGGACAAATAGAAATTTTTAATGTGTATATTATAAAGAATTTCCATGATAATTTTCTCTTCGTCCGTCACATGCGATCGTCAGTTACGAGTCCATGATAAGGAGGTGTGATAATAATAATAATTCGAAATATCAATGATATTAAAATACATCCGTCGTGTGACATGCTTAACGAAATAGTTAAAATCATATGCTATCGATTGAGAGTCTGATTGGTTAAGCCAGTATTTAATGCAAGCATGGCCGCCCTGTCAAGTATGAGGAGAATACTCGACTGTGATTAGTCAATTTCTTAAGGCTTAGGGCTTAAATCACCTATTGTAGACCGGCACTTACGGTTCTTAAAACGAGGTGAAAATTACAAAAATGAATAGATTTATTAGATTTTGACAAATGAAATTGTAGATACTCTAGTGAATTTCTTCACTTTTGTAATTTTCACTTCGTTTCAAAAACCGTAAAGCCCACTACGCATTGCGGACTCGAATTGGATTTGGAGTACGGACTGCGAATCATCATCCATCCAATCAGAGCGAAGTAGCCAAGGATCTGATTGGATGATTGACGATTCGCAGTCCGTAATCCAAATCCGATCCGCGTCCGCAATGTGTAGTGTGACACGGGCTTAAAGCCCGTATCAAGGTGCCATTAAGGTGCCATTACATGGCAGCATCGAGCATCGAGCGTCTGCGCAGAAATCATTGCGCAGGAATCTGAATGAAATAGATTCCAGCTTCTTGCGGCTAATAGCATGATGAGTGATATGAATTCGGTCGAGATAAAAAAAATTATGTTCTGATACACATTACTAATACTGAAAATTGATATTTATTTACATTATACACAATAGATATTATTATTATTAAACAAAATATGTATAAAACGTTACTATCCCCCAGCAAAATATTAAAATCTAATCAACCCATACAGCACAGAACGTTGCAGCAATGTTACTACAATGTTGCAATGTTGCTGCAACGTTCTGTGCTATATGAGAAGAATTATGGGATATAATTTTCATTTTTTT